TTTAGAGGTAAAGTTGAAGAAAGTCTTGTTGTTGCAGACATTTGGCTTTATGACGTGAAAATTATGCTTAAGGGACTTCATTGTTCTGATGCTGACAAGCTAGACGGAGTAGTCTCCTTACTCCGAGGGCAAGCAAGGATTTGGCGGACTAATGTTTCATTGAGAATGTCAGGTGATCAAGTAACTTGGTCTTTATTTTTAGAAGAGTTCAAGAATAAATACATCGGAGATCAATTTATCCGACAGATGAAACAAGAAATCATGAATTTGAAGCAATGAAACTGTACAGTGTATGAGTACGAATGTGAATTCAACAAGTTAAGTTGATTCAGTGATGAGTTAATTCCTGCATAGAAGGATGCTTACGAGTGGTTTGTAGAGGGATTGCGTCATCGGTTGAAGGAGATTCTTATTATGTTGAACTTATCTTAATTTCAAGAAGTGTTGAACCGTGCTAAAGCTTTGAAAATGGCTCAGAATGAAAGATTTGGAGATTCTCGAGCTCAGACATAAAAAAGAATGGGTTCTTCTTCGAGTTTTGCACCATCAAAAAGGGGCCGAGATGTTGGCTCTTAACCTCAAGCTAGATCAGAGTTAGTAGCCTTCTCAGCGAGAGGAGAAAATCCGATGAGGGGTCAATTGACACAGTCAGTGGGATCGGGAGCTGGGAGATCTAATCCGAGTCAAGTCAGACAATGTCCACATTGTGGAAAGAATCACTCGGGGATATCCAGGATGATTTCAGGAGCCTGCTTTAAATGTGGGGACACCGGGTATTTTGTTCGAGATTGTCACATGTTAGCTGGTGAATCTGCTCAGCCAGAGAGGTCTGCCTCGGCTACTCAGAGGGGAAGAGGTAGAGGCAAAGGAAGAAGTCAGTCAGAGTCATCGGCTCCACAAGAGATACATTCTACAGCTCGTATGTGAATTATGTATTATGTGAAAAGTGATAAAAGCGATATGAAAATGAGAATTGTATTTATAATTAAGCCCATGTTATTTAATGTGAGAGTTGTATGTATAATTGGTATGCCAAGGGTCGAGGGATTATCAGTGGTCCTTCGGGACATAGTGGTCATTCAGGACATAGTGGTCCTTCGAGACAAATATTCAGTGCATATAGTGGGATTTTATTTGAGCTGTGGTGACAACATTGTGCACGACCTCAGTGTACTCGCGTACCTTATGTTCTCAATAATGTACATGGGCATCCAAAGATCTAAAGGAAATTCTTATGAAACATAATTGTTTATTCATGCATATCATACTCATATGTCATAGTGTGGTATTTACATGTGCATTGCAATGTCCTAGTGGATTGATAGTAGTGTATGTTCATGATATTATTGTTATATGTTTATTTTATGCCTCACTAAGTCTGTGACTTAGCGTGTAAGTGATTTACACGTAGGTACAAAGAATCCAGAAGAGTAGAAATAGGGGTAGCAAGAACAACATCATTGCTAGAAGATCAGATTAGAAGTAACTGATAAGTATATATTTTGTTGTGTATAGTGTGTTGGCATGTAAGTAATATGTTAGTTGTGAATGCTCTGATCGATTTTGTTTTGTTTTGGTCAACCTATGTAATGTAACAGTGTTATTTCAATGAAAATTTAAAATTTCTTTGGTTTTCTTTAAGAGTCAAAGTTTGAAAGGTCAATGTGACACCTCAGACTCGTATCCGGGTCGGGTACGTGTTTACGTGTTGGGGGTGTTACAAAATGTGAGGGTACCCCTATATATAAAACTCATAAAAACAGTGAGGGTATCGGTACCCCTACAGTAATTTCAGCAAAATATATATATAACTCATAAAAACTTAACCTTTCCTCACTATAAAATTTTCATTTTGTTTCCAAATTTGTTCAACAAAACATATAAAACATTAATAAGTACATGCCACTAACAAAGTCAACATTATATCGTAGGATGTCTTATTGATATTGAAATATACTCCCCGATGCTTGATGTCACTTTGTTCAACTCTGGATCTTAATTACCTCCAGAGTTACTGCTAACTGATAATCCATCAGTCTAACTCTTTTTAGTATTTCGTAAAGTCCAATGAATCTTAGACTTAGTTTTTCTTTGCACCATCAAACTTTCAAAATTTTCATTTTGGTCATTATCCAAATTTTTGGGGTATTATATATTTTCTCACTTCTATTTTGGTCATTAAATTTAAAAAAAATCAATTTAATCATTAAACTTTCAAATTACTTATATTTTGATCTCTCTTGATGATGTGAATTATTTTATTATTATTTTTAGTATGACATGACAATTTTATTATTAATAATGTTAAATAAAATTTAAAATCAAAATCTTTAATATTAATCTTAAATCTCCAAACTTCTACGTCGATCTAAACTCATCCTTAACTTCTTCTTCATGAAACAAAGAATACAAAAAAACTCAGACTAGCCATTGTTTTTTCTTCCATTCTCTTCTCTTCCCTTTACATGAGTCAGTGCTACGATTGAGTGAAACTACATAAAAAATAAAAAAAAATAACCTTACAGTCTATACTTATCTTTATCAAGTTATTATTCTTGTTTTTTTATTCTTTTTATTTTGATTTTATGATTATGCCCGTGAAAGTAAAAAGGGGTAATGATGCTTTTGTTTGTTTGGTGATTTAGTGAAATGAATTAGCTTTATTTTGCCTGGAAAATGAGAGAGTGTAAGAAAACAAGTACAAGCAGAAACATAGATTTTTTGTTTTGTTTTTATTTCATAATCTTTATCTCTTCTTTATTTTAGTTTTTTTTTTTTTCTGAAACTGCAACATTTTAAGAGAAAATGAGGAAGCATGGATGACAACTTCCTTCTCATCCACTTCACGCGCTTTCCCTTTTATTGTTGATGTTTTTCTTTTTTTGATAAAAAAATTATGAACCTTTTGTTGTTTCAATTATGGGTATTGAGCAATGTTTACATTTTTCTTAACTTGTCTTTATGAAGGTGATAGTGGTTGTTGTATTATTGACACTTAAATTTGTTTCTTTGTGTTCAATTGTTTTCAGTTCACAAATGATTTTTCAAGGGATTCTTATGTGGTGGCCGTCAATAATGATTGATGTTAATGGTCGGTTTTAACATATATAACTTAAAAACATTAATTCTAAATAAATTAAATTACTTAAATTAATTATTAATTTTAATAAAAATTTATAATTTAATTATAATTCTATTAAAATTATAATTAATAAATGATTAATTTTAAATAAATCATTTCACTTTTCAATATTTACATAATAATAACAAATTTACTTGTGGCGTGCTTTGGTAGGTTGTTTTAGTGGTACGTTGTGGTATACGACATGCGTTGTAGAATTATCTATATTAAAACTTATTAGATTGTTATTTTGATACGATAATAAAATAGATAGTGTCTAAATTTGTTAGATTGTGACTTAATTATTGGTAATAGAAGACCATCATTTGCAAAAGTTACATTCATTTAGAGTATTATATTTTGAATTTAAATTAAAGTTTGTAACTTAGAAAAGATGAAACAACACGTGATTTTTAAATGTATCAATTTTAGGGAGTCGTGCGAGTGTTTTAACTTTTCTATACATACGGCTTTTGAACTTAATTATTTACTTGATTTTAAATGCAAACATCTAAATTTATATTTTTCTAAGAGAACCTTTAAAGTGATATTTTTATTCGTATTCGATTATATTTAACTCAAAATGATCAATGTTAATTTTTTTTCTTCAAAACTCATACATCTTTCTCAAGAAAAAATATATTTATGAAATCTAAAAAATTATTTCGACAAAAGTTAAATATTTTATGATTTAAGTTTTAAAATTTGTAAATATCATTCAAATATATCACATTCCAACAATATAATTTATGAAAGTAATTATTTTACATTACCAGTAAATGAAACAATTATCATTAAATAATAAATAATTTTAATATATATCTATTCTTTAATTAATAAAATGTGCAAAATTTACTAAAATAGCTCTACCTAATTTTTTTTGTTCATACCCAAATCTTTTATATTCAAGCTATAAGATATATTGATAATATAATTTCAAAGACTCAATGAAGTCCAATTAACAAATTCAAAAATCAAAAGCGTAACCAATAAAACGGGCTCAACAAAAATAAAGAACAAACGCAATTAAATATGACTCGATCAATAATTGATTTTGTAAATTTCAACGTTCATTAAATTCATGGGATCATAAGCTTTTAACAGGTAAAAACATAAATCGAGTTAAGGTGAGCAATTGCAAAGAAACTCTTACCCAATAGGGCTATTATTTACCTTTTCACTATTGTTTTTCAAGGCTTCAACATAATTATAGTAGAATAATTCTGCTATACGACGGTTTAATTTAAAGTTATGAAAAGATGTAATTGAAAATGTTAATAAAAATTTTAATATTTTCGATTGATCGTAACTTAAAATGTTATTTGTGTAACTTAAAATATTAATTTTTTAATAATTTTGATTTTAATCAGAAATGTTATAAAAAATATAATATTTTTTATTGTCAATAGAAAAATATTAAAAAATTAAAATTTTAAATTACATAAATATTAAAAAAAAATATTTTAAATTACGCTCAATCAAAAATATCAAACTTTAGTTGCTTTAACATTTCCTCTTGTACATTTCATTAACGTTAAATTAGACTCATCCCTAAAAGAAGTATGTTTTTATCTTCCTTACTACTTTTTCCATTAATGCAATAAAAAGGTGCTCCAAATCAAATAAATAAATTACTAATATATTGATAACTCCAAGATAAAACCAGGACAACTCATTTGCTCATCGGATTTAAAAAACGTGGGGTGAGAGTTGGAGAAGCCACAGTTTTCCTTCATCTCCTTATAATTCATTTCCGCCTTAGATCTCTTAAAACCGGCAAAAAACTTGGATTAAACCATGAAATTTTGATGTTCCATTAAATTTTCATCTTCATCTTTGACAGTTGTTTCATTCAGCTTTTCAGACAACAACAATAGAAGGAAAAGAAGCGGCAATGTCCAATTCAGGCCAGAAGTCCCGCAAGGCTCTCGAGAGAGCTAGTTTCGTCAATATTCTTAGCCAGTTGTTGAAAGAAAAAAGAAATCTTGGGGATATCAGTGTTGGGACGGATTCAAAACATGAATCTAAAGGTACCCTTTTGCTTTCTTTCTAGGTTTTCTGTTAGCTGTTGAAAAAAGGGAGCTTTTTGCTTGGGTTGATTTCTATGGGGCGTTTAATATGAAGAATTTTTTAATTTCTTTGTTTGGCGATGTTGCAGGGATTGAAACATCTAGGCAACGAGCTGCGACAATGAACTTTTTGCCTAATATGGATAATTCTTCTGAGAATTTAAAACCGACTCTTGTGGCATCTAATGCGTTTTCCCCAGATATTGTCAGTCTCGGTGCCTCCACTTCCAAGGAAGATACCAATACCACGACTGATTTCAGGTGTGTGTTTTCTCTTCATTAATATCACAAGATATTCAGAATTTAGATGCCCCTTATTTGATCTTACCTGTTTGATACTCATAGTACTGACAGAAATTTGTTAAAAAAAATAGGTATGAATCTGAGAATTTAGTTTTTTGTTGATTTAGGAAACCGGCAAAAGTGGAGGCAAAGAATTCCCAGCTGACCATGTTTTTTGGGGGCCAAGTGGTGGTATTTAATGACTTTCCTTCACACAAGTTCAAGGAAATCATGGACATTTTAGCTAGCTATGGATGCTCATCTGCATGCAGTGGCGTCGTTGCTGAGACCGGCATGGAAAAAGTTAATTATAAAATAGACAAAGTCGAGTCTAGAAATCCTGAAATTCCGGACCTGAACGTCGCCACCACGACTGGAAATTGTCCTCCTCCTCCTCCTCAGGTTCCAGCCGGAGAGCGGTGTGAATATGGAGGTTCAGGTAACTATAATTTGACCTGGAATCAAATCCAGGAAATTCCTGCTGGGAAGTTTTGAAAGTTTTTTAACTATTAATGACCAACTCTGAGTTGTTTGCTTTGCTTTCTTCTTTGCAGATTTACGAATTGCCAGAAGAAATTCACTTCACAAGTTCTTCGAAAAGAGAAAAGACAGGTAAGAAAGTTTTCCCAGAACTAGAAAATTTTCCGATGCTGCTAAAGCTTCATAGAAATTATTTACTTCTCCCAGATCCTACGAAATTTGCAGAACTTTCCTGGACTATGAATCTTTTGACAAATGGAGTAAAAACTGGTGCCTTAGATTGCAAACTATGAGGATCCCTTGTTTTATTTTTCCTTTATCCCTCAAAAATTGAAACACAATATAAAAATTAGGCTCTGCAAAATCTCTTATTTCCTGGATCTGCATAGCCTGGCCTTGAAGGTTTAACCAGATCAAAGACCCAAGTTGTGATTTTATCTCGTTCTTCTTTTCTTTGTTGAATTACATCACTATATCGACAGCATCGGCTTCATTTTCAGGGCAGCTGCAAGAGCACCATACCAATTTAACAATGTTAGAGGGTCTCCTCCGCTGCCTAAACCCGACGAAAGCGAGCCATCTCACTAGGAAGGTCAATCGTCAAAAGAAGCATCAAGAGATCTTGATCTCAAGTTATAGTAAAATTTGTTTGTAACTTAAGACCACCTTAATTAGCGTGTAAAGGTTCCGGGTTTTTGTGTTACAACCAGATTGAGATCTGATTCATTTTTTTGTGCAAGTTTCATCCATTGATTGTTAGACAACAAAGCCTTCGATAAATCCGTTTTCTATTGTCTATTCAATGAAACTTTGCTGATATTTAGTTGTTAACATGGTGAGTTTGAACCAGACTGAAAGCAGATGACAACTTCAGGAAAGGATTTAAAATCAATGAATCAGAAAAGCAGGGATGAGTATTCAAGTTTATGTCGTTAACCATGATTGACTAATGATGGTAACTTGAGGCCGTCAGGGTTTCCGTGGGAAGCAAGCAAATTATTTTTATTGGATTATTGAGGGGAAGGGCGTATACAAAAGGGACTACGTTAGAAAATCTGCTCGTTTGATTCGTTTGTACTTGTTCCTTTCTCTTGGAATATGCTCAATTGAAAATTTTCAATCACGCAAGTTTTATTGAAGATAATTGCTAATAGATTTAGGGTAATCTTTCCTAAGATCATTGCTCCGAATCAAGCGAGTTTTATTGCAAGAAGGAATATCTCAGATAATATCCTGGTGGCTCAAGAAGTGGTCCACCTATTAGAGGTAAAAAAGGTAAAACTAAGTGGATGGCGATTAAAGCTGACCTTGAGAAGACCTATGATCGTGTTGGTTGGGACTTCCTTTTAGATTCGTTTGAAGATATTAGATGTTCCGACAATATTCACCGTATCATAATGGAAGCGGTCAGCTCGTCCTCAATGCAAATCTTCTGGAATGGCTCCCTTACGGAATAGTTTAGACCCTCCAGAGGCATTCTCCAGGGGTGCCCTTTGCCCCTTTACCTCTTCGTCCTTTGCATGGAATGACTAGGCCAGAGCATTCAGTATGCCATGGACGTAGGGCTCTGGGAGCCTATGATACTCTCTCGTGGTGGTCCTTTATCTCATCTCTTCTTTGCTGAAGACTTAGTCCTATTTTGCAGAGCTAATTAGGATTAGGCCGGCCTTTTAAAAGTTATTCTTAACCAGTTCAATCGCTTCTCAGGGCATAAAGTTAACTCTAATAAAACTAAAGTTTTCTTCTCTACCAATGTGGAGCAGGATTTGACAGATAATTTATGCAATTCGCTTGGGTTCCAACTGTCGACTAACCTTGGCAAGTATCTCGGAATGCCTCTCTTCTACAAACAGGTAACGAAGAGCACTTTTCAGTTCCTCATCAAGAAAGTGCAAAATAAGCTGAGTGGATGGGCTGCTTCTAATCTCTCTCTAGCAGGTCGAATTATTTTAGCTAAATCCACTTTATTGGCAATCCCCAACTATTTTATGCAGACTGTGACGATCCCTAAAGAAGATTGTGATCAACTAGAACAAATCGTGAGGCGCTTTAATTGGGGTGGCACAAAGGATAAACCTAAAATGGCTTTGGTCAAGTGGACTGATTGCTTCCAACCTACGGCTAATGGGGGGCTCAGATTAAGGCCTCTTTATGTTCAGAATGAAGTTTTTCTGATTAAATTGGGTTTTAATATGCTAATGAGACCTAATGATCTTTGGGTTAAAACCGTGAAAGCGAAGTATAAGGTAACAGAGGTGGTGCTTACGCACATCAATCCGAAGAATGGTTCCTTTGTTTGGAAGTCTCTAAACCGGATATGGCACTACATTCGTGAGAATATCTGTCTTCTTAATCAGGTGTTACCCAACGAGATGGTTCAATGGATCACGGCTACTCCCTTGTGACGACGTGTGAGAAGACTTACCTGCGTGGAGATGGGATAACTCCGGTTCTTGTTCAGTGAAAACGACCTACTTCCATATTCAAAAGGATGACTGAGACCCGAGTGATTCCAAATGGTAGTTAGCGTGAAACTATGAGGGGCCGTAGAGAATAGGACATTTTATTTGGACAGTCCTTCGACGCCGACTTATGACTAATGCTAAACGGAAACGCCGTAGAATTACGATGGATGATAAATGCCCACTTTACATCGCTGGAGAAGAAACAATAATTCATATTCTTAGAGATTGTTCCCATGCTCGTATGATTTGGTCTCAGTTGATTTCACGGCAACATGCTACGATATTTTTCTCTTACCCTCTGCTGGATTGGATGCATTTGAATTTAACTAATAGTGCAGGGGTGGATAACATGGAGTACAAGTGGAAGCATCTCTTTGGAATCCTTATTTGGAGGATCTGAAAGCCTCAAAACAATGTGGTCTTCAATGGTTCAATCTGGGCAGTAATGGATATAATCCATTCGGCAAAAGCTTGGGCTACAAATATCAAGAACTATAATACAATAACCAACTGTAGCCGAGGAAATTGCAGACCCTCGAAGTGGACAAAAACCGACGCATGGCTGTTTTAAACTCAACACCGATGGAGCTATGCACACTGGGACTATGGAGGCAGCGTGTGGAGAAGTTATCCGCCACACCGGGGCTTGGGTTGCTGGTTTTAGCAGAAGTTTAGGCCGTTGTACAACTTTGCAACATGAATTATGGGTTGTTATGGAAGGTCTTGAATTAGCTTGGAATATGGGCATTCGTGTTCTAAACGTGGAGTTTGACAACCAGGAAGCTGCTACACGCCTTAATTCGATTCCCCAACTCAACGAACCTTCGCTCATAAGGAGAATTAGAGGAGCTCTCTGCCGCCAATGGAAAACCATGATCAATTATATCCCGCGAGAAGCTAATAAGCTTGTTGATAGTCTGGTTGGACTCGGGCACAAAAAGAACATGGATTCTCTCATTTTTTTCTACACCACCACTGACAATTTTAAGCGTTTTTAATTCCGATTGTACTGTATCAAAAAATAGACCAATCCACTAGATCCTAATGGCTTCTCTTGTAACAAAAAAAAATAATCACGGATTAGCAATTCCTTAATATGTTGAATTAAGGTGAGGTATCCTTACGTTAAAACGTCTTTCTGAATTAATTTTGCGGTCTCGATATTATCTGTTTCTTTAATCATTTGTCGTTCTCCAAGATTCCAAACACTTCGAAGACCTTCATATATTTCCTGTAGTTCCGCCTCTAAGATTGAACAAATCCCAATGTTTCTTGTAGAGTACGTTTTTCAACTTCCTTTGTCATCACGTAACACTCCTCATATAACTACACCGTCAAATTTGACCTTACACCAATCTTGATTTGATGGAGTCCATCTTGGAAGATTATGATTTCGGGTTTTTTTTCATTCTCTTTATTTTCAATGACATTATTGGTCTAAATTAAAAAAAAAAATTGTAAGAACTCAAAACGATATTATTTTGATGTATAATTATATTTTTTTTTGATACACTATATTTTTTATTATTTTATTATAGAATAACAAAAACTAATGTAATTTTTTAAAACTTTAAGAACTAAAAAAACTTAACTGATACTCTGAAATTTATCATTTACATTTTTCTTCTTTTAGTTTTAAAATATAATCATTATAATATTTAAGTAAACACGTCAAAGTTATTTCACATAAAGAAAGTTACCACTATTTTCTCGCATCAAGGCAGCCGTGGTAGCTTTATCCGACCACTTTCAATTTTTTTTTATCTGACGTTGTCTGACTTATTTGTTTCTACTTTTATTTTAATACATTTATAATTATATTTTTTTTCTTAATCCTTTCTCTGGCAAATAGTATGATAACTATTAATACTTTCGAGTTTTTGATGTAAATCTCATCTATTGGTTTTCTTGTGTCTTCTCCACCGTGTCTAGTGTCCAAAGATGTTGAAGTAATCCGTTTTTATATGTCTTTGTCTCAACTATTTACGATGCATTATATTGTCATTAATCATTCATGCATCCCTATATTTTACTTACGATTATTCTGAATATATATTTAATACTATTCTAAATAATACTCTTTATGACTAATTCAATCTGCATACCATTTTTTTTTCAAAAAATAAAGCCTCATTTATATAAGTGCTAAAATCAAACTCCAATTCTAACATTAAATGTATATAATAATTTTATGTTAAATACAAAATAATATGAAATAATGCGAATATATAAATATTCTAAAATAATTAAAAAACATTATCAACCAAAGGTAGCCTATTGGGCCGAAGCTTTTGTACTTTTCCAAGCCTTATCGCCTATTGGACATGGATTTTGTTATTTGTTGTACATAAAATAAACTGTAATAAATTCACTTCCTCACTCCAAAAAGAATCAATTTACTAATACACATTCTACACGTGTAGTGTTATGATTTCTTACCGCTAAACACATGCAACTTAAACAAATAAAACATATATTTCCAAACTCATATAAATACTTTTTTGGATGCACTCGTCACCTTTCTCTTTCTCTCTCTTTAGAGGTCCTCTTTCCTTTTTTTCTTCCCATTTATTGAGGTCCCCTTACACTCCGAACCCTAGCAGAGGTGAAGAGAACAAAAGTTTTTTTCTTTCTCGGAAACCAAACAAACCTAATATTCTTTCTCTTGTAAATCGCCGAGGAAATGGAGCCCCTGAGGCTGAAGCAACAACAACAGGCCCTGATGCAACAAGCTCTCCTCCAACAACAGTCTCTCTATCACCCTGGCATCTTAGCACCTCCTCAGGTTTTCTACCTTTTTTTTGTTTTATTCTCTCTTTAATTTTTTGATACAATTTCTTTTTTTTGAGCATCTGCTAGTTTTTTATCCGATTTTCAGGGGTGATCTGTTGGATACCCTCCCGAAATCGTGTTTGGATCTGTGAGTTCTTGTTTGATTGTATTTGAATTGGTGGAGATTGGGTTGGTTTGGATTTGATGCTGTGATATTTGATATTTGAAAGATGAGCTTTTACGACATGTTTTACTTGATTTCGATCGACTATGTTCCTGTTTTTTTATTTCAACGTTATTTAAAAAAAACTGTTGTTTTCTTGATTTATGGTCGGAGATATTTTTGGGTTTGAAATTTGATT